CAATGCTTACCACCTTGCCGGTGGTATTTCGAACGACACGTCTCTAAACTTGAAATACAATGCACGCAGATGACTGCTGAAACCTGGATACCGTACGTATATAATAAAATTCAACATGCTGTACCCCTGTATCTGTGTTGGTTCCCAGCTGTCGGTTGGTCGACTGGAAAAACAGGAAAATGTCGCCTGAAACAGCTGACTTTTCGGCTGTTCTCCATTCTTTCAGTCTACCTCCGCTTCAGGTAATTTCGCTTGGGAGCCGGCAGACACGACTAGGTCCGCATACAAAATGCGGGGAAATGCCCTCAAGGTCATTTTCAAAACGACTTCATATGGAAAACCACCTGTGGTCGACAGCACCTCCCCCCACCAAAAAAACCGCTCAGTTGCCCTTTCACCGCCAAAAAACAAGATACTATGGGGAAGAGGCGAAAAGACGTTCGTTCTGGACATTCTGCATTGTTGACGCAATTCCACTCGCCTTCTATTAAGGAAATCTTTTTTCAGTCCAAGTAAGTTGTGCGGAGATTGCACAATATACCATACTTGACACCACTGGTACCAGCCAAAAGCCCATACACGCGTGTTTCGTGAATATTCTGCCGCTGCGTGACGCAGCTTCGAGGGGATCAGCTGGTCAGTGGGTCCCCCAGCATTCCCCGTGTGTTTTCTGGTAGATACTCCACTTTAGAAACTGTCGCTTTTTAATTTCCTTAGAAATTATCTACGAAGTTGGAGTAGATCAGCTTATTCAAGGTCTATAGACAGAGACCACTTGTATTAGCCAAAAGCCCGTACACGCGTGTTTCATCAATATTCTGCCGATGCATAACACACCTGCGAGGAGTCCAGCCCATCAGTGGGTCTCCCAGAGTTCCCCCGTCCTAATTTAGCGATTAATTTCCGAGGAATCTAAAAATCCGCAATGTCAAAACCGGAGTATCTACCAGAAAGCACACAGGGTGGACGCTGGGTGGACCACTGATGAGCCGGACGCCTCGCAGTTGCGACAGAATACCAGCAAAACACGTGTCTGCACCTTCAGCTAGTACCTAGTTCTTGAGTTCCGTAAGAACGATCGGTGAGCGCCCCCTACCACTGTATATTCCCGATCGAAAACCAACAGGGCAACGGGCTCGTGGCCCAGTGGTTGGAGGCGTGGACTTCTAACTAACGGGTCGCGAGTTTGAGCCCCGGGTGGGCCACACTTCGGGGTTGGGTATGACTGGCTGACGACGGCTAATAAGCCAGAAATGGCCATTCCAGTCTCCGTTGTCTTTGTCGGTAATACCATTCTTCCTATGTCATGCGCCGCTGTGCGGCTGCTGGTTGGGCTCGAGAGAGAGACCGTAAGGCACAACCGAACGAGTGAGTTCCGTAAGAACGATCGGTGAGTGCCCCCTACCACAGTACCTATGCTGTCGATCATGGTATACAGTGCAACCTGTGTATGTGCTACCGGCTGCCCGTTGGCTTTTTGTGAATATTACATTGTTATTCCGCTGTGGCCGATGAAATTCGGCTAAAATATCCACATCCAGTTTCAGTCTGAGTCTATAAGACTAAAATAGACGGAAAGCTGTGAGTTATGGGTGCTTGTTTTTAAACTAGACATTAAGAATGGACTACGCTACTCCGACACCGTCATTAGATTAGGCCCCTTGGTCGATTTCGTCCACCCCACCGGGAGCATTTATTCGACCAATGTTGGAATATTGTGCTCAAGTATGGTGTCCCAGGACGAAACGAGATTACACCCTGCTGGAGAACGTACAACGAAGAGCAACCAAGCTGGTTGGCGGATTAAGTTGCTTACCTTGTGAGAGGCGCATGGAAAAGCTAAAAATATTTCCTCTCTCTTATAGACAATACAGAGGGGATATGGTCGTGGCCTTTAGAATCGTCAGAGGGCTAGACTGTGCTCTTCAGTTTGATGATTTCTTCAAACTGCCGTGAACAACCAATCTTCGAGGCAGCCAATATAAATTGGAGATGAAATATGCCAAACTCGCATTGCGGGCCAAATTCTTCTCCTACCGACTGGTTGAAGAATGGAACAAATTGCCGAACTCCATTATCTTAGCGGAAAACGTTGAGACTTTCAAAAGAAGACTAGATAAATCTATGCTTGATGGTCAAACATTTACACGATATCAATGACTGGCATAACTGCTATGTACATATCTGCATGTTTTTTTCATACGTAAAAAGGGTTTTCCAAGGCTCTGCCTATATCCCTCATGTATACTGAATTACTGAACTATACTGAATTTCTCTCCCTCGCCACCCAAGACGCCAAGTTACCTAAAGTTCTATTGAGTCTGCAATTTTTTGGAGTTGCCCTGTACTTTTGTCAGTGAATCTGCGAACCCATGAGCCAATGACGATGTCAGCCCCCACTTTTCGTCCCCTTCGAGAGGTGTTTAGGGGAACTCGACTAGGTGGGGGAAAGAAGGTGAGCTCGAACCTGGGCATTCTGCTGGACACGGGACGGTTTTCGGGCATAACCAGCTGAGATCATAGTGAAACCTAACGCTTCCGAACAGAATGATCCGAGCAGAGTGGTCCACCCACCGGAACCGCTTGGGGCTATATTTGGAGCACACCATTGGACGGATGAAGGTGTCTTTATTTTAGTAGAGCCGAGACGCGTGTGTGGAACACTCAGGACTGCGCTCCTCAGCGTCCTCGCTAATTAGATTGCGACGCGGTAACTCGACTGGTGGCGATCGGACGCGGTTTGAGAACTCGGAGTTCTCTTCAAAGTGCGGTATCGATCTGTAATTCCCCCCTGTTCGTCTGTCTGCCTTGAGTGGATGGCGAATTTGGAGGATTTGCCGGGGGCTTACAGACTGTGGTAAGGGACGCTCACCGATCGTTCTTACGGAACTCACTCGTTCCGATGTGCTTTACGGGCTCTCTCTCTCTCAAGCTTAACCAGCAGCCGCACAGCGGCGCATGATATAGGCTGACGACGACTAATAAGCCAGAAATGGCCATTCCAGTCTCCCTTGTCTTTGTCGGTAATACCATTCTGTCTATATCATGCGCGGCTGTGTGGCTGCTGGTTGAGCTTGAGAGACAGAGAGCCCGTAAGGCACAACGGAACGAGTGAGTTCCGTAAGAACGATCGGTGAGCGCCCCCTACCATTGTATATTCCCGATCGAAGACCGACAGGGCAACGGTCTCGTGACCCAGTGGTTAGAGGCGTGGACTTCTAAACCAACAGGTCGTGAGTTCAAGCCTCGGGTGTTCCACACTTCGGGGTTGGATATGACTGGCTGACGACGGCTAATAAGCCAGAAATGGCCATTACAGTCTCCCTTCTCTCTGTCGGTAATGCCATTCTACTTACAGACTATGCCAGTCCCACGTCGAAGCACGCAGACCAACTAGAGATGGGACGTCTAACATATACGTAATTCGCTCTTGGAAAAGTTAGTCTCTGCGACCTACCTGACCGCATACCTCCCCCAACTGCTGGGCGGTCCTCGGTGCCTCCCGAACTTTCGTCAAAAGTAATGCCCAGACCCTATCACCGTGTCATATCACTCACCAGAAAGTTACTCTACTATTTCTCCAAGAGTTCGGACTGTTTGGGTCCCTGCGTGACCCCATTCAATATGTAGGTCGCTGTACCCCACGTCATTAGCAATTTAAGATAAAATACTGCAGTATTTATAAAGTCAACATGCAAACACCGGATCTTCCTCTGCCCTGATTATTCCCCGAGTCTCTTGGGAACGTGAATTTTTTGCCTGATGTTTCAATTCCACGCTCGAATCCATCACTGGAAAGAGCAGCTGGCAGGAGGTGATAGACATACAGTGAGTGTAACATTTGTAGACATGCGGTTGCATATCGAAATTAACGATTTCGCCGTAAAGCATCCCTAATGAGTTTTTGTCTCCGATGATGAGTTATAGCGTGAATCCGAAACGTCAGACGAATAAAATGATTGTTCCAGCCACTGCATTTCCCTCTTCTCTGCTGTATCCTGGAACTCGAATCGTTCCTTGCATTGATGATTAGTATCTTCACTGTTTACAGTTACATTGGAGCCACTCCCTTCGTGCGATGGTGATTCCTGTCTGAGTTTTAAGACTAATATCGATTTGAGTAGAGTTCGTCTGTCCGCAGGAGAGACTGTTGTACGTTTCTACTTAATTAAGTAGACCCCAATGCTATCACTAGTTGGCGGAGAGGCTCGGACTTTCGACTGATGCGAGGTGAAGATGGAGGGGCCGACAAATTAGCGTATTCCTCACTGTAATCAATCACACCCTGTCGAAGTAATGGCTTAGAAGTCCACCAAATGGAGAAATAACTCTGTCGTCATGGGAGTATTTTGGTGTGACCACTGTGGCTCCTTCTATGGAAGTGGCACTGATCTGAGCTCCGAGCTGTTCTTACAGAAGCCCAGTAAATGCTGTAGGGAGCTGGCCATATGTTTGACTTTCCTAGCTACTGCGCCCATGTCTACCCCCCAACGTTTTAACATTGACTTGCCATCGGAACAAAGTGGACGAGGGAGGAGATAATGGGGTGGGTGCTTTGCAAGTCCGTTCCACTATAAAATAAGCCATGTGCGAATCACCGCTAAGAGACCTACCTCGCGTATCAGCAGTGGACATCACTGTCTGTGACGATCAAACTGCTCCAAAACTTTTCACAGATCTCGAATTTTAAACAAACTATGTGTCGGAGAATAACTAATACTGAAAGACTTGCGACCGTAAAGCGTGCTCCACTATGTCTACAATGCTACCAATCGGATGCGTCCTCGCTTATCAGTCTGTTTTCGCCAAATGCGGCCGTTATAATCAAACAATACCATCGGAACAGACTAATTTATTTTTCTGACAGGGTAAAATATCACAAAAGTGTTTGAGTGGTAAAGTTGTGTGTCAGGGGGTGGGGGAAGGGAAGGAGGGAGAGAATATACAGGGTACATCATGACACACCGGACAGCACCTACCTCTCGACAGTCGCAATCCGGTCAGTAGAAGGCAAACTGCCGATCCAAGGAGGCCTTCGCCGCCTCGGGATCTCGCTCTAAGAGGCCTGAGCACCGTATACCGTCCAACTCAAGCAAATCCGAGTCATTCCAGGCACCCGTCGGCAACTCGGTGCTCGCGTAGCACCCGGCAGTACGCCAGTGCATCCGCAGTCCATTCTGGCTGACGTACTTGCGTCGGCATTTGGGGCAGGAAAAGGGCCTTTCGTTGACGTGCAGGCGTCTGTGCAACTTCAGATGGACAAATTGCGTGAATTTCGCCGGACAGAGCTTACAGTTGAAGGGTTTCTCACCGCTGTGCAGACGCAGATGTGTTTTCAGGTTGCTGGTGCTGCTGAAACGCTTGTGGCAGACAGCGCACTGATGCGGCTTCTCGCCAGTGTGTACCAGATGGTGCTTCTGAAGATGCGCTAGCTGAGTGAAACCCTTGGAGCAGACTGTGCAAATGAAGGGTCGCTCCCCAGTGTGGGTGCGTAGGTGCACCTTGAGGTTCGACAACTGGCCGAACGTCTTTTGACAGATATTGCATTCGTAGTGCATCCGACCGTTTTTCTTGGCCAGCGGGAAGGGCAGTGTTCGGTAGCCTCGAGAGTGATGCGATAGCCTATTCGCCCTGACCGTCTCCTCTATGGAAAAGCCTCCTGATCCACCTCCCGAGAGGATGGAGTCACTCAACCAAGCGGTCTCAACGCTGGGGAGTTTGTCGTAGCCGGGGAAATTCCTCGGTCTACCCTTGTCGGCAATGGGACTCACCGGCCTTCTCCATTCCGCACGTCGAGAGCGGAACTGAGAGGGGGCTACGAGTCGTCTTCCGTCTTTTGCGCAGTCAGCATCCGCCTCGATTGCGGCGGCAGACGAGGGGGAGGTTCGTTCGGCGGAAAGGATGGACGGGTGTGGGAGCGGGGGAGGGGGAGGAGGTGCTGGTGGTGGATGAAGAACTGGAAGACGGACTCCAGGCGTTGGCACGAAGTTGGCTGAGTGCATATTGAGGAAATGGTGAAACCAGAACTCGCAGACCCCGGCCATGACACCGCCGCTGGGCATAAATGGTGGTGGTTGTGGTGGCAGCGGCGGCGGTGGCGGCGGCGGTGGGCCTTGACAGGGAGCTGGTGGAATCTCCTCGAAGGCGGACCGAGACAGGGGATCCGTCAGGGGGGAGACATTCCAAAGGGTCGCTGGACTACTGGAGGAGGCCGGGGAGGCTGACTGATCTGGTGGCGGCGACGACGGCGGCGGCGGCGGTGGGGGTGCTGGCGCCGGCGCGGGCGGGGGGGAGACTGCGAGCAGGCGGTCGATGGAATAACGAAGTGCTGCCTTCGAGTTGGAAGAGGGGGTTACGGGAGCCAAGGTAGAAGATGGCTGTCGGTGGCCGTATTTAACCTCCCAGCTGCTTCCCGTTGCTAACGGAGGCGTTTTTGCCGCCTTGGCAGCAATAGTGACACTGCGAAACGCGCTTGTAAGACTGTCTTGTGACTGAAAACAATGAAAATCCCACATCATGTTAGTATAAATATCCACCACCTTAGTATTTACTTCACTTAGAAGAAAAATAGGTTAAGATATGGTTATGTAACCTCACCTGATGGGCACAATACTGTTGGGGTTGGCGTTAGGGGTTGTGGTTACGGGTTAGGGTTAGGGGTTAATGATTGTGGTAAGGGGTTAGGGTTAGGTGTTATTGTTAGGGAATGTCGTCAGGGGTTAGAGTTAGGGGTTTCGGCAACTATTTCTCAACCACTCAAATTACAACCACGCATTCCCGATAGTTTTTCTTCCGCATAAAAATACTTGGCCTCGTAGCCTGTGCGTTCTCCGGACCCACCTGTAAAATCTCCTATTACTACCGGTCCCGTATTACAGGCGGCTGGAGTTTGTTTACTTCAAGTGGAACTGCATAACCACATCTGACCAAAAATACTTCATATTTTCTATATAGTCCATGCATCTGAGGGTGCTAATAGGCATTTTAACCTAAAACCTGTCAGTTATTGAAGGCATGTCTGACCGTCCCAAATCACTGAAAGCGTAGAAATAGGGAGTAGTAATGGTAATGACGGTAGTAGTAGTAGTAGTAGTAGTAGTAGTAGTAGTAGTAGTAGTAGTAGTAGTAGTAGTAGTAGTAGTAGTAGTAGTAGTAGTAGTAGTAGTAGTAGTAGTAGTAGTAGTAGTAGTAGTAGTAGTAGTAGTAGTAGTA